TATGCGAGGGCAAGAATTGTTTGTGCGGACCGCATTAGATTCGATTAATTATGCACAGAGAGACAGTTTTAGGCAAATTACGGTGTTTTCCTTGAGGAATAAAGAACAGTTGAATGCATCCCTATGAAAGGTTTGACTTCTCGGGGCTGAAAATTAAAAAGTTCTTCGGGACCTATTTACCAGGAGAGCGAAATTCTTCCAGACAACGGTAAAACACATAAAGAAGCAGAAATCTCGTAGTCTTCAAAAATGTCTTCGCCCCTCCCCAACAAGTTCTTTGAAGGAAGTTATTATTGCTGAAAGCTCAAAAACTCGCATGTGCTGCTCAAAAACCTATGGGAACAAAATGTTCGAACGTGTGATTTTCTCGGAAAATGGATTTTGAAAAACGGTTTGGTGCTTGTCAGAAAGAGCAAATCCTGCACTTTCACCCCATGGAAAAAGTGCATCTCAGAAGTGAAATGAAGTGGGAATTGGGTTATGCTCGCTTAAAGCCCGAAAATTCGCGATTTCAAAAAAAGTGTTCGGCAACCCCCCCCCCCAAAATGTTCGAACGTGTGATTTTTTCGAAAAATGAACTTTGAAAAACGGTTTGGGGCTTGTTAGAAAGAGCAAATCCTGTACTTTCACCCCATGAAAAAAGTGCATCACAGAAATGAAAATGAAGTGAGTTATGGTCGCTGAAAGCCCAAAAACTCGCTTTTGCACGAAAAATGTTCGAACGGGACAATTTTTTGAAAAAGGGGACAATCACTAAACTTTTTATACTATTTTGTTAGAGAAATATTTGAAGTTTCTGAAACTTTTTACAGATTTCCAAAATGTCGCATACATACGAAAGATTTTATGGGCCTTCAAAGTTGAAGGTGCGCCTTCTTAGAATTTTGGGTTTTCCACTTCTAACAGAAGTACTTTCCGGAGAGTTAGGCAATCCTTGTAGTTTTCTGGAAGCGCACCTCAGGCACAATCAAAATCTACCTCAACAAGTCAAAAAATACGTCCCAAGAAAGTTATTCCCCTCTAAAAATTTTTCTTCGCCGCGTCCCGTTCTTCCAGCGCCCGGGTGATACCTGCCGCGCTCCAAGGCCGACGCGACGACGCGCAGACGCTTTCTGGCGCAACGGATTCATGTCTAGCACTCTTATTAACAAAAACAGGGGGTCGCAACTGGACCCCCTCGAGAGCTAGAGGGTCAAGGCGAAATCCCGGAGAAATGTTCAACGAGACGGTGCTAACTTAGTTTGGGGGGGGGCACGCGGCGGCGCGGCAGTCTGCTCGCCTGGCATGTTCGGAAATCCGTGGGCCAGGGGGAGTGTAGCCAGCCTAGGGGGGTGGGGGTGGGGGCAGTCACTTGACATGCGTGAAAAGCTGGAATGTTCGAGTTTACACTGTCTCGCTCGAGAGAGCCCAGGTGAGCAGACTGCCGCGCCGCCGCGTGGCCCTTAAGTTAGCACCACTAGCTCCGTTCGTATATTCGTCAACGAGATGTATTTGGGATCGAGTGTGTCTCTTCAATTCTGTCCAGAATGAATTCCGACGCCACGTGGATTCTTTATTCGACCTCATATACAGAATGTACATGAGATGCAAATCATGCCCTTACTTCAGGTGACCTATTTGAGGATAGATAAAGCGTTTGGCTTGATCAGTTCCTTCTTGGGGTGTGCCACCCTTTCCTCAATCATTCAAAATCGCAATGAGAATTTAAATGCGACTGGATCTATACAATGAACTGCGGGGGAGGGGTATGTGCAGTCCATGTCCATGTATAATTCAGTGCTTATATTTACCAGAGAAGTTGGTACAGGTCAACCGATCTCGAAGAGGTGGAAGGCTTGATTTTTCTGGTGGGTGTACACCTCACCATTTGACCACCGAACCATGTGCGTGGTAAGCGGCGCCACTTGAAATGCACCAGATCCACTCAGGTAGCTAGGGTCCGTATGCTGTCCTTCCTCAGGGGGAGGGAGACGAAAATCTGTCGAAGTTTTTTGTCTTCCAAAGCAGAACCGCTCTGTGAAAGGGTCGCAATGTATGTGTTTAAAGGTAAGCATGTGCCGAATGTAAGAAAATATATTTCTGAAAAAGAATAATTTTCATGGGGTTTTTCGTTCACTAACCTTGCAAGAAGGATAGCGTACTGCCTCAATTGTGCACTTAAAATCGTAACACTTCAAATCGCCGTTCATGTGCTTGCCGGCTGCTGTGCAATAAAATGCGTCCATATACAAACAAATATGTGTGTTGAATTCAGTGGAGCGAAACCAAGTTGAATGGATCTCAGAAGGCTGGCATAAAGAGAGTATTCGAGATCTGCATTGAACGAGGAATGAAAAGAGGTCAATATGCAGCGCCCTAGAAATCGTCCAACCACGCTACGTGAGCGCGTTGCTCAAGCTTATCACGATTATGGAAGGTTCGTTTGTTTGTAACGGCTCACATTTTTCTACGAAGTCTCTATCGATGGTTCAGGCTTTGTTCAGCGCATCCTGTTGCTTGTTTATCTATGTCACTTATTACCATGTTGGTGCTTTCTTACCCAACATTTACGAGGTTTCGTCTAATCGCCAGCAGTCCCATCAATGTGCAATGGGATAATAAAGTGTACACCAGTTCAGGTACGTTCTCATTCGTTCCGAATCTAATTTCCTCAAGCTCGTTCTTGCAGGAGAACGATCTCCTGAATGGCTTCGTGGTTCACCTGCTGCATTCTTGCAACAGGTTATTATTCGAGGAGCTGTAGATCCATGGGTTTCTCACAATATGACACCTGAGCAGGTGGGTTCACCTTGAACATTTCCTTCGGTCTCCTTCTTATTGTGTTGCACT